AGAGAGAGAGAGAGAGAGAGAGAGAGAGAGAGAGAGAGAGAGAGAGAGAGAGAGAGAGAGAGAGAGAGAGAGAGAGAGAAAGGGGAGAGAGAGATACAGAGATACAGAGAGGGAAGCAGCGTATAAAATGCATGCGTGTCCCACTTATCCACGGCTGCATGGCCAGCACCGTGGGGCCGCTAGACGTGTGACCGGATTTCCATGTCGACAACAGTACAATCATGTTATTGAGTGATTACTGATTAGTGAACCTCATACTGTAAACTATAAACAATTTGCGACTGGCCCGTACAAAACCTACTGCATTTGTACTTCCAAGTAGTAGTATACTGACGTCATTGAGCCTAGGCTAGGGGTTGCGTTCATGTTTGCCTCCCGGGTGCAATGCTTGAGTGTTTTTCTTTCTTTGCATCAGCATTTCATGCGGTCAATAAAAACACGCTAACAGTAACACGTCGCTACCAACTTCCAAGTACGTGTACGTGCATACTGTGTTGCTGAGGTGCTGTAGGCATTGGCCGCGATCAGGGACTATTACTAAATCCCACGGCCGCGTTGGGACATCACCAGCCTCGTCTACAGAGATCACCTGAGCCATGCGACAGTGTGATGGCAGCAACTAATACTTGTGCCAGCTGACGAGCTGAGAGAAGGACGCCATGGGCAGAAGTTGGACAAATAAGGAAAAGAATTAAAGAATTAAAAATAACTTTCTTGGAGACAGGAAGCTTATCAGGGAAAGAAAAACTCCAAATCTCAAGCTATTCTTGACCATCATCGGCAATTTCAAACTGGTTCATGACATTCGGAGTCCTTATTGCTGATGGTGGTGAAGAATAGCTTGAGATTTGTAGTTTTTCTTTCCCTAATAATATATAAAGAAAAAAGAACAATTCAGAAGAAATGCTACAAAGTTTTACAGGACTGAGTCACTGAGTTACCATTAAAAGAAGACATCCAAGAACGAACGAAGAATACACGACTGACAGTCCATTATTACTAAACAAACAAAAACAAGAAGACTCAAACAACTCCCTAGTAGAATGAGGGCCAGAACTAGCCCTTGGCGGATTATGCCGGCATAATATTTGGCATAATCTTGGGATTTAGTCAAAAAAAATATGCTCCGGCATAATATACGGATTCCAACGTGTAAGGTCGGCATAATCTTTCGGTTTAGACAAAAATTATGCTTAGGGGCATAATACAGCTTTGTCAGAAAGCCTGCAGATGCAGATACCCCAGTTACGACTCCTTGTCATAGCCCTTGGCGGATTATGCCGGCATAATTTTTGGCATAATCTGGGGATTTCGTCAAAAAATTATGCTCCAGCATAAAATACGGATTCCAACGTGTAAGGGCGGCATAATCTTTCCGTTTAGACAAAAATTATGCTTAGGGCATGACCGTGTGTGTATGCGTGGTTTCTCAATCCTCTATGTACAGCGTCAATACATAGTGGAACCGAGCATAATTCAGCATAATTCAGTATATTTGTTGGCATAATTGTGGCATAATCAAAAGCATAATTTGACGATTGGCCGAGCATAGTCCGCCAATGGCTAGCCAGAACCAACTGGGCGGGTAATGCCAGTCATAATGCTAGCATTATGACTGGCATTTATATTCCCTTTTTTCCAGGTGGCATAATGCTGGCATTATAACACCATTTCGCATGCAAAATTGGCATTACAAGCATAATTATTGCCGGTCGACAACGGTGTCATGCATGAAGTTGGCTAGGTCCAGTTCCAAAAATCGTGCATCTGAACCCGTCCGGCTTCGTCCGGAGACTTGACGTTGCAAATCAACCTTCTCAGTGGATTGTTTCAGACAACATGCACTGCAGCCAAATATGCAGGATGCATGATTGATCACGTGCTGCCTACGTGCTGCCAAGACGGCCTTCTTAAAATCGACTTTTCCAACTTTCAAACTGGCATTATGGAGTAGTGTGAGCATTATAAGTGGCATTATGTATACAATAAATGAGGAGGCCGAGGGTTTATTGGTCATAAACCCAAGGCCGGAGCATTACGGTAAGAAGTTGAGTGAGTCGGAGTCAGAGAAGTGAGTGACGGTCTGTGAAGGTGACATCACAAGACCATAACCGACCGGACGCGAAGGATACAAAATAATTTCACTTTGCTCCGTGCCTACATGCAGGCCTGTATCAGACTCATGGTTTGTAGTGCACACTCGTGTCCTTTCTCACGGACGTAAGTCGCAAGACAGGCGTTCACAAACCACCTTTTTGCCAGAGGGCCCATGAACTGGACGGCTTTTACAGCCTCCTGCCGAGATGGTCAAACAGATGAAACATTTTTGGACAGTACTTACAGAGACGTGATGCTCTGTGCAATTCAACTTTGTCAAAACTAGCGCTTTCTACAGTTTGAGTAGGGACTTGTGTGATTCTCCTCCCCACGGTCGCTCATCAGGAACGCGTTCCTCACGTGTCGTGTGCAGTTTTACGAGGTCGATGTGACACTCGAAGCAAGAGTTAGCATCGAAGTCGAACACTCCACAGCTCGCCTTTTGTTGACTACTCTTTCCTGAACTCACACAACAAGAATAAGACGCACCACTGCCACGGCATTGGCCTCCGTTGTCCCTCATCGTCCTGGGAATGTGGTCGATTCAGGTTGCTCCCAGAGCGCACCAGTCAAGCCTTCATTTCGCACCCTGACCCGCAGTCTGGGCCGCAGAATGCTTCGACCTCTCTCATGCATCAGGACACATGGATTGTGTACGTCTGAAGAAAGTGAAGGACATATCGCACGGATCGGGGATTGAGTGAAATCAGCCGCAGATCTTGTATATTTTGGAAATCACGACAAACTCCAAATTTTATTTTGTTCTCCTTCAAAAATCTCGTTGTATTCTGTTCACCCTAATGTAGATCTACGCTCTGTTTTTCCTGCTGCTGCTGCCAAAAATTCGAAAGGAAATTCGACCAACAATATCGAAAAAGTAAATCGTTGAAACTGAAGATTTTTCAGTTTATGACCATGATTCTTGTGACGGTCATCATTCCTTTCTTCCCAGAGTTTCTGGGAAGCACCATGACTGTTTTTATCCACGGCACGCGTTTCCATTGCACTGGTCCCTTTGGAACTTCGGCGTCCCACAGTAATTAATCGCTCGGCTAACGGTAGAGATGTCAGTACCGCTGTCAGGATTCGTCTCAAGGCGATGCAGCGTTGAACGCAACAGCCCTGCTGCGGGCCAGTACGCAGCACTCGCTGCAACACCTCTCCGCTCGTGTTCAACTCCGCTGGTGCATTTCAATGGAATGTCCGTGGACCTATCGCCGTTCCATGGTCCCTGCTCGCAGCCGTACCTCGGAAAGGTCGAGGTAACTGACCTCCAGATGCTTGTAATGGAGAGAAAATGATGGAAGCCTCATTCGTAAACCACAGATAAGCCGTTCAAGGACAGATCCACCCTCAGCTGGCTCGATAAACTCGGGAACGGAGCAACGCAAAAGTCCTGTGGCGGAGTCGTTCGGAATGTCGCAGCTTCTCGCTATTTGTCTTGCGGCCGTAGCACTTGTGTGCGGGCCCGTTGAAGGTGAGCAAGATTTGCCTAACGTTTGTCGGGGATAATCGACAAATTTGAATGACGGGAAAGGTTTTGCCCTCTGGAGGCGCGATCTTACTTCGAACACCCGGTCAACTTCGGAATTTGTTTGCATACACTTCAGCGTTCGTGAAACACACACACATAATTATTATTCTCAGGCCCATGAATACGGAAATTAATTGTCAGGTTTCCAGTCGAACTGGCTTGTGGACAGGTATCGTCATCATTAGCCAGGTAATATAAAGCAACATAGTTTGAAAATCAAAGACAGCGCCAACACCAGAGGCTGCATTGCACGTCAAAGCTACGAATGCCCGCAGCAGGAGGTCTGAGTAAGAGGGCTCGAATCTGAACGCAGCGAAGTTCATTGACAAAACCTCCGCTTGGTATAATGGCTCTGTAATGTCTGTCACATTGTTAAAGCTAGTAGTGAGTTGGCTGGTAAACAGAGAAGAAGCTATACATGTGTACAAATATTTTGAAGCCAGTCTGGTTTGATCATTGTGAAGAGGATCCGTTAGCTCCAAAGTGATGCTGACATTTTTACAGTTGTTTTCCCTTCAATCAGCAATGGACCGATGAGATAGGCGGTGCCGATACATCGTGAACTGTTAACTCTATCACCAGTGATCGGGCATAGGGGTTAGGACCTGGCGTCAACACATCTTCATGGGAATCTCTTCTAATCTAACGTGGTGAGCTCAGAAATGATAAGAGATGCAGGCAAACGATCCGCCACTGGATAAATCCGAGTGTTTCCACAAGCTATCTCTTTGGACCAGCCATGCCGGTAGATTCTTGGAGAATATCTTGGATAACTCCCAGTGGGTGAAGAAAAGCATGTGGCATTGGTGTAAGGTATCACATACATATGTCAGTACTGGACAGCTAGTGTGCATGATACGTTCTCTTACCTGAGCAGGTGTGGGGAGATGAGGGCATGCAGACAGTTATAGCTGTGCCATAATCACGAAAGTCCATTACGGCAAGCAGCCTATAGTTAGTTTATGGTG